AATTGATTTCAAAATAAAATTTTCAATATGATGAATTATTGATTATTGTTGTTTTTTAAAGCATATAAAAATTAAAATATAACTAGGTAGTCATTCAAAAAAATCTAAAAGAATAAGAAATTTTCGAAGATCTGAACCAAACCGTACCGAACTGTACCGTCCCAATAGTCCCGAATACCGAACCGAACCGAACCGAACCGAAAAATATAAATCTCCGAACCGAACCTGATGTGGTCGTTACTAGCGGCTCATAAAGGACCGGTTGTGATCCGGGTTCTGGTCGCACTCAGCCGGGTGGTCCAATCTGGTAGGCGCAGTTCATGGTACGTTTAGGGTACATGGTCGGTGGGCGAAGGTTTCTGGTAGGCACAGCCCATGGTACCTTTGGGGTACATGGGTGGTCGGCGGAGGCTAGTTCAACATGAACTAGGCAGCACCTGGGCACCTAGGTAGCTGGACGCCCCATTGAGGTGACCAGAGTCCAAAGGGGGTATCATACTTAAGTCTTAAAGAGATTCGTAACCTCAAGGACTCTTTGAATTTTGACCTAATCTGAGGAGAAGACTCATGGTATGATAAGAACTCTACAGCCTCTACATGTCTTCATCTATAAAAGGGGCGCATGTTATTTCATTTACACAACACACACATACAAACTCTCTCGTTACTCTGCCGCTTTTTCGGATCACCACTGACTTGAGCGTCGGAGTGTTCGCGCCGGGACCACCCCCGGCGTGTTTTGCAGGTACCGGCGATCAAGGAGACGTAATCCGGTTCGAAGAGGAGCGGTCCAGCGGTCCAGGTTTGTGTGGTATAACAAATTGGAAGGAGACGTAACCCGGTTCGAAGAGGAGCGGTCCAGCGGTCCAGGTTTGTGTGGTATAACAGAACCGAACCGACCTTTTGGTACGGTTCCGGAGATCGAATTTTGAGATTTCTAAACTTTGGTACGGTTCCGGATATTTATCATCTTCGAAGTTCGAACTGTACCGACCCACGCTCACCCCCTATGAAGGTATATGATGTTAAGGCTGACTAATCACATTATTTATTTTGAGAAATGTTAGGCATGCCTAATATCCACTTTTGCCGACCAACTTGATTAAATAGTATTTTTGAGTGTATTTATTAGGATTTTTTTTTTTTTTTTGTTTTTTCCTGTTTTTTGAGCGCACGAAAATGCTGTGTCATCATTCTAAACTTGTTTTGGGTCAGATGACCATAATGTAATACGATAATTAATCATTATTAGTCCCATTGAAATGGCAATTAATCGATTTGATATTTTAATATTGCATGCATTAGCTAACATCTTAGCGTACAAATAAGGGAAAAAATTAAGGTAATGATAAAAGGTCTATTTTATTATACTACTAATAAAAAAACAGAATAATAACTCAAGAAGTCATACATATGCATCATTTTGAAATTAAAATACCTTAGCGTACAAATCAACATAAATAACAATATGATATATTATATAATATGAATATGTATTTTTGTTAAAAAAAAAAGTAGAGTCTCCAATAATCCACCTCATAAACAAATTACATAACAAATTGGGTTATGGATGTTCAACCTACCAGTGCCTGCACTAATTTTTTACCACTGTTTTTTCAAATTTGAATTGGACTGGTCGGTCCGACCGATTCTGTTGACCGGTCTGATTCGCTAGAAAGAACAGGTTGCCCGCGAACTAATAAAAATTGCTAAACGATCAGTTGAATCAATCAAAATCGGCCAAAAACCAATCGTAACAGTTCAAGCTTTTCATTTTTCTTAGAAATAAATTTTAATATATCTGAAAGTATTTTTGATATAAACAAAAATAATACATAATCAAATATAATGAATATGTATGAATTATTTAACAATTAATTTAAGCATTTGAATATTTTAAATTTTCTAAGTATTTAATTAATAATATTAAAATAAATTTATTACACAAAATTATATATATATGTTTAAAAATATTTATAACTAAAGATGGTCCGACCAATAAATCATTAAACCGATAGATTGTTCGATTCGATGGCCGATGATTTTTCCATTAAATCAATATATATTTGTATGAATATATCCAATCTCTAGTCTCCAAAAATTGCTCCATAGAATTTTTGTATGTATATATCCA